AGCGGAACGGAACAACGAGACCAATCACAATCGCAGAAAGTAAAGCAGCGGAATGATTGTAGAGTTCTGATTGGTTTCACTATTCCGTTCCGCTGTAATTACCGCTCAATGTGACTCCAGCCTAAGTCCTCTCTGTCGCTCTGATAGTCGTTTTCAATTCGTGATTGTGCATGTCAAACAAACCTTGTTTGACATGTGCATTTAATGTGCAGTATAATTCCTTTTTACAACTTACATTCTGTTTAAGATGGTTTATGAAGATTTTTTTTTAAATGTGTTTCTCGGATGAGGGGAAAATAAAGCGTCTTTAGCCCTAACCTTTTTGGGCTTATAACGCAAAGGTTAAGGGCCTCTTTCACCAACGCCGATTAACTTAATCGACGATTAGTTCATTGGAATTGACCAATCGCATTTATCATTTAGTTTTGACGGCAGACGCGATTGGTCAATTCCAATGGACTAATCGTCGATTAACTTAATCGGCGTTGGTGAAAGAGGCCCTAAGAACAAGAACTTCTTCTTCTTTAGACTCAGAGGATTCAGGCTTCCTGGATGAAGCCCATTAACCTTGCAGACAGTGGCCTTCAGGGAGAGATTCCATTTGAGTAGTAGTATCTCTCAGCCTGAGAAGCATTTCTATCATAAGTCCATATTGTTATTTATTTAATTGGGCTTCTTGTATATCATCATTTGTGAATAATCTACGGTCTTTCAAACGCACACTCAACAGTTATTAAAAATTTGTATTAAGCAATCTTTGAGCTTCAATTAAGAACTTGCTTAAGGCGCATGCTATTTTATTATTCATATTGCCTATTAAGTATTCAATTGAAAATGATTGAAGAGTTTACACTCTCTTAAAACACGCATTAAATCTTTTCTAGGGTTAATCAAACAAGGCGACATGACCATGCAATACGATTAATATCCTGCGGACTCTCCCCGCACTCACATATGGGAGAATCCGCCAAGTTCATTTTAAATAAACGGATCTTTGTACAAAGGTATCCACATATAGTTCTTGAAATCAAATTCCACTCCAACCTTTTATTATTTCTCATACTTTCCCGAATTACAATCAAAGAGACCTTAGCATCATCCACATTTCATCAATTATTAATTTTTTTATCAATTGTTTCAATATATTCAAACAAAATTCCATTATTCCGATCAATCCTAGCTTCTCTCTCTTCATATAAGTTAATTATTTTATTAATTATATTTCTAAACTCAGATCTTTGGTTATTAATAGTCCATTCATCTTCATTCATCAGTGCACTCTGGACTCCCGAAGAGCATATTTCCTCTGCATGTGAACCGCGCCGCGATGCGCAAGAACAAGAACTTCTTGGTTATAACCGATGCGCGCATGTGCAAACTTTCACACAATGTGCAATGCCACTGCGCATTGTGTGAATAACCGCGGACGTTTTTTGACGTACCCCCACCAAGCTAGTTCACTCCCCTGGTTCTAGTCTTCTTGGTCGGTTCTTATTTCAAGACTGTCTTAAGTAATGTCTTAAGATGCTAAAACGGCCCTCTGGCCGGTATTCATAGTCAGTTCTTATTTGAAGACTATCTTAAGTAATGTCTTAAGATGCTAAAGCGGCCCTCTGATTGGTTCGTAACTCTTCAAGACTGAACTTAAGACGGTCTTGAATATAAGAACTAACTATGAATACCGGCGTCTGATTGGTTCGTAACTCCTCAAGACTGAACTTAAGACGGTCTTGAATATAAGAACTGACTGTCATTGGGCACGTTCAGCGGATTCAACAGTTGAGTGAGCGCTCGTTGTTATTGGAGTATTCTTTTAGATCATCCAATCAGAATTTTAGATCTAGAAGAATGCACCAATAACAGTGAGCGCTCACTCAACTGTTGAGTGCTTCGAGTCAGTCTTGAGATTAAGAACGGATTACTCCAGATCTACAATACGTGTTTTAAGCCCTAAGCTGTAAGAAATTAATCAAATACAGTCGAATTCAATAGTACAGGAGTCGAAGCTGCGAATAGTGCAGAACCTGGCAATTCTTTGACAGTGCATCAATTAACTTGAAATTGTAACAGTAGGTAAGGAATAGCCTAAGAATCAAAATCTATATTATGCCGATGGGTGCTTTTCATTTTTTAGGGGTGAAAACTATCCCTTATTGCCAAAATCTATTAATCTATATATTAAAGCTTAAGGTGAGTAAAATTTGGTTCAGATGAGTTGAAATAATTTTTTGACGCTGTGGAACATTATTTCAGAATATTTCAACCCTTAAAAATCAACCCCTAGTAAGGTTGTAATAAAAAATAGAATTATTTACCCTCAAAAAATCAATAATTTATCACAGCGTTTTAAGTTTAAAATGTTACTGCTTAAAATATTACTAATTTCATTTTGTAACTTTTTAACCCTTAAAAACCACCCCTTATGACATTGCAATGCTTAAAAACTACTTTCATAGATAGAAATAGAAAAAAAATACATACAATTGCATACAAAAAATATATTTACACGCAAATACAACCGCATATTGATGTACATACATATAAGTTATACGAAGCAGGCTACAATTGCCAGTATTTATTAAAATCCGTCATTAAGCAAGGTAGTGCTCGTATATACATACACGTTTTTAACGTCCGTATCTCACTTAATTTTTGTCGTACAGAAAATGTACAAGGGTAAATGTTTGGAATTAAAAAAGCTACAATTTGATACTGAAGCATTTTTTACGTATCTCCAGTAGTTTTGGACTTATTTTGAAGAGAAGGGCATTCTTCACGAAATTGCAGAAATTCGTTTTTCACTTTTACCTCCAATTTTTTCAAAATTAAGCATTCTAGACCGGTCAAACTCATAGAATGTATTAATAATACATAAATAAAGATAACTGTAAAAGGACAACGATTAATTTTAATTTGGGTGGTAATTAGGGGTTGTTTTCGCTGATTTTTTTCGATGAAAGAAATAGGGACCGACATTATTTTCATCATAACTCGCTCAATTTTTATGCTACAGACTTTTCTAAAAACGAAAAAGAAAGGTCTTTTCATATACTTTAAAAAAAATTGTATAAGTTTTTCTATAAAAATGCATACTTTTCCCATTATTTGACTTTGAAACTCTCAAATTTAGCGTTTGACGAAGAAGAGCTTACCTTAGCTCGGTTCCTATTGGTCATACAGAAATTTATAAAACAAGCATTTTCTTTGTTTTTGTAAAAGCTACAATTTTGCTCTCTACACTTTTTTTGATAAAATGCATCGTTTTCGAGTTAGCTGCGAATAACCGATTCAAAATGATGAGCAGCATTTTGATTAGATGATTCTCTTATGCGTCGCGTGCGCGCGCGCGCGTGTGTGTGTGTGTATACACAGTGTGTATATATATATATATATACATATACATATAGTGTATGCATACACACACACACACCACACACAGAGTGTCACGTAAGTTTTTTTCCAGCTTTTGTGTAAATAGAGCGGAATAAACTACACATACACACACACACACATATATACATATATACATACATATTGACAATTTAAACGCGTTTAATTTTTAGCTAATATTGATTTTATATTTTGGACAACATTGACGCATTATACTGCCAATATATTCAATGTAAGGGTTTTTATAGCGCACCATTATATAATTTGTTAGCAGATTTGTTATATATTTCCTGGCATTTTGCCGACAAAATTCGTAGCAGACAATTTGCAAATTTATGTTTGATGTATAGTAGGACACTTACGCGCGTAAAGCGAGCGATCCGGGTTTGATTTCCGGCCGAGGTAATCATTTCGCAATAAGAATTATTACTTTCAGATTTTAACGTCATTAAATATCGATATATATAAGATGCCAAAAGAGCATCAAATAATTATTAAATTATTAATTAATTTAATTCGTGATAGTACGGTGTAGTTTATTATTAGAGTTGCGTTTCAAGACCGACAATTGTTCGGCGCGCAATTTAGAAAGACTATATCAGTATATAAATTCACGCTAAATTATATATAACCAACTAAGATCTATAGCTATAGACTATTATAGGCTTCGTATTTGTATTAGTTATATTATTATATTGATGGTCTTTTAAAATTTAATATTGTTTATGTTTAATAGATTTGCCAAAGATATTTGGCAAATTCCACACTTAGCAACCGCTTCTCGCCACAAGATGCGCATGAATGTAGGGGTAAACGGTGCAGGAGTTGCTGCGCGTGAGACGTAAAATACGAGGGCGAAAGTATACGCGAACGATTTTCGTCGAAGATAAAGATAGTAGGATAATAGGGTGCTGTACAAAGTAGCACGACAATGTACGCATTTTAATATCTGATAGTAGACATTTGGTAGTAGAATTATGGTGCGAACTGCAAAGAGTCGAATACTCGATGCATCATTTGTGATGGCCACTCTGACATTCACGTTGCTGCTGCTCATCGATCAAGTAAGAAGTAAGGCGGCCGTAGGTTTGTCGGGTCGCATTATCGCTCCCATTTGCACGCAAAATTTCATTTTGCAAAAGAAATATTTATGTTATTGGAGACTCATTTGTTCCGTTCGCACCCTCTTGCCCGCACAACCCTTGTCCATTCGGCTCCTTCGTCGTGTTTTCGATCAATACACACCCGCCACCGTGTTTGCCATTCATGCGTAAGACTTTTCAATACTCCTTTTAATTATTTAATCCATTAATGCTCTCAGTGGTTCAAATTTCTGAAATGTAAAATTTGTTTATGAATAAAAACAGTTTAGCGATTTTGATAAATACTATGATAAATAGAATAATTTTTTTTTCATTAATAAACAGCTATCTTTTAAGCCTTTTGCAATTTCTATAAACACGTGCATTCCGCCGCAAACCAAAATTTTCGAGATAATACATATTGTTGTAAGAAATATTAGTATAAAATGATTTTGGATTTATAAGATTTGAAAAAAAGTGGAATGTATAATTCTTTGGATAATATTATAGTATAATGGATAATAAAAAGATAATAAAAAAATTGTTGTAAACTTTATTTGATTTGGTATGATCTACTTGTAGCCTTGATTTGAAATGATAAAAAAAATTGCATATTTACCGTAATAAATAAATGCCGAAAAATAATATACATTTTTCCTTAATAATTTTGCGTGTATAGTTAAAGGCTATGTATAAATATTGTATGTGTACATACACATGTACATATATATATATATATGTATGTATTTTTTTATAATATTGGATTATATGTATAAAATAGATAACTATTTTCTGATGAAGATTTATTTCTTTGGATTGAAATATCGTTTGATGCATTAAAACGAATTATACGTATATATTAAATAAATAATTTCTTTTTACACAACTTATTGAATATATTGTAATTAATGGAAAACGTGAAGAGGGGAATACAAGGAGAGGAGAAAATCGTTCATCTCAACTGTGTATACTTTAGATCATTATAGTCTGTAACCAATTTATTTATTATTAAAGAAATTATAATATAATTTATAATTAAAAATATATCTTGATTTTAAGGTGTCTTCTAAGCTATGCGATGAAGGACACACGTAAGTCTCATTTTATAATAAATATTATATAATGTTGAATATGAAATTTTAAAAATATACAGCTAAACTATAAATAAAAAGATGTAAATTTGTTGCTTTTTAGCTGTTCTCCTTCACAGATATGCTGTTTTGATAGCTGTTGTTACAGTATATACCTTCCGTCGTCTCGTATAGCAAAAATGGTCACATTAGTAATTTGGACTTATTGGTATCTGTGGTTAGTATATCTTTTCAATAATTGATTAAATTATGATAAAGAGCAAAAGGAAACAAGTTTTTGTCATCTTTATTTATTATGATTTTTAGATTATTTTTGTAGCACAAAATTTTCTAGAATTTTCTTCGGTAATTATTTAGAATAGGGGAGGCTAGAATAGGACGGCTAAAACCTGTTGGAGGTTACTCAGGGTCATGACCTTGACAACATATGTCAAGGTCAAGGTCATAGCGCTGGCCTCCCCTATTCTAAATAATTTACCATTTTTTCTAATGTACATGCACTCTTGTATACTGATGAACATAATTTTATTTTATACATACCTGCATAATGATTACTTTTATTATTAGTATTATACAAATCGAGTAGCAGAACTCAAATATCTTGTTTACAGGGTAGTACTACTGATAGCCATAGTTATGATCGCATTATACGGCTTATGGCTGTGGAGACATCGTATGGACATAACAGATGACTGGTTCTCGGAAAGAACGTCCCCAGAACCGTGGTGTCCGCCTCCTCATTATAGCCAATGTAGTTCCTTTGTTCAGGCACTACCACCACCATACAATGAGGTATTTTTAAAATATTTTATCAATTAAATAAAAAACTTAAAAGTATATTATATGCAAAACAATAGCGTCGGTTGCATATAATATGTGTACACACTGTATAGCATGTATGTACAATAAGTTTTACGACTCAGGATTTTAAATTTATATAGTAGAAAGAGAGATAGATAGATATTTTTTAAATTATTATACTACTTAATTTAATTACGATATCACAAAATATTATATTGAAGATTCTATTCTGCGACATATGCCGTTAGATTTTGCAACAGTCGCATAGGTTAATTGTAGCGCTAATTAAATGACAGAAGAAGTCAACGATATATTGCGAACGTTTTTGCTTCAACATTGAATAACTCGGTGAAAAAAAAATCGTACAGAGCTCAATAAGAAAGCAAATTAAAGGTAAAGATTCACTCTTTCAAAAGCGGTAAACAGTATTTGTGCATAATTTTTAATTCTTGCCGTGCACCGTATAAAATTTTAAGATCTGATTCATCTTCGTTTATGTTTGTGTAACTTCATCGAAATATCGTTTCAAGACCGTTTTTTGAAGTACCGGTCTGAAAAGTACCTGAATATCTGAAAAGAGATTTCAAGCTTTAAAAACTTTTTTAAACATCTCGCTACAATGATTTTTCATTGAGTTATTGTTATTCGAAAATATTAAAAATTTAGTGATAAGATTTAAGTGGCTCGTTTTTTTGTGTGCGAATGTATGCTTGTTTTTGGAGAAAATCGCAAAAAAGGTGTTGAAACTTGAATTCTGTTGAGACTTGAATTCTTTATTCTACATATTATATTCAAAGAAATATACACGTAATATAAATATTTTATTTATAGATAGACTTTAATGAGAAAATATAATCGAGAATTTTATAACAAATAACGAACAGTACAATTATTAGTGACAGAAATGTTAACAATAACAATTACCTTTATAAAAGAGAGAGAGAGAGAGAAAGTACTAAATTATTTATTTTAATTCCTTTCAGAAACGAAAACGCATTCCTTAAAATCTTTTTTATTTCAAGCTCACGCTAAATTAATAAATTTAATTAAATTGTAAGGCCTTACATGAACGCTCTAATTTTAATAAATGGTACCAGAAAACAGATAGAAAAACATTTAGAGCAACAACGATGCTCAAATAATAAATAACTCCGTTATCAAGTTCTTTTAAAATTAAATTCATAGTAATGGGTAAATAATTTGAATTAGTTGGATGAGAATTACTTATGTTTATTCTAACAAAAGGCAAAACGTAATTTTCATTTTTGTACCTTTTTATTACTTATTTACGTTATATTTATTTACTTGCTTAATATAGATATTGTTCAAATGTTGGCTTTTTGCAGCAAAGCAAGCATTGCATTTAGTACGGCCCTGACGAAAATATAGCGTTAATCAAAGCGTAATCGAAAGGAGTGTAATGTAACGTTCCACCCATGAAGTGGAATTTTTCATGAAGTGTTCGAGAAGTGTAAATTAACTTTCTACGAAAAGTGGAGCTCCACTTTCAATCATAAAATAATATTAGCTTTTTCAGTGCGTTTGTGACCATAGTGAATACTGTTCAATTCATAGTTTTGAATAGGAAACGCAGTTTTTCAATCCAGTTGTATCCAATTGAATCTAATTGAATCCAATTGAATTCAATTGAATCCACAAAAAAGTATTCGCTATTTAAAATACGAATTCGAATAGACAAAATCCAATCCATTCTCGGATACTGGTCGAGATGACCAAGGATAGTACTCTTCCACGTCCAATCCATCGTTGTAGAAAATGTCTGTCTAGCCAGTATAAGCTCGAGTAGTTCTGCCGTAATGACACCCACCGAATTGAAATCACATTTCAATCTGTTGCTGTATGTCTTGTAAATAATCAAAGAAGTCTACAGGAGTAGTGTGGAGAGTCCTAAAGCAGGAAGTTTAATCGTTATCAATTAACTCAAGAGAACAATTGAGAAATCGAATCGAGGCAGTAGTGCACCAAATATCACCAGATTAGTGTTTAGCTGCAACACGAGCTGTCCGTACTAGATGCAATAATGCTTGCATTGCTGCAAGAGGTCAACATTTTGAATAATACATTAAGCAACTGAATAAATATAACGTAAATAAATAATAAAAAATACAAAATTTTGCGATTTTCTCCTAAACGAAGCAAAAAAGAACATGGACATATAGGAATATAGGGACGGAGCGTATATAGATGCGGGGGAAAGCCACTGCGGGACGTTGCGACGAGGTAAAGTGTGCCTAAATCTGATTGGCCGTTACTGTGGGCAAGTGTGTGATGGTGTGTGTAGTTGTGTTGTGTGTATGTATTGTTTAGGCACAGTCGCCCCCCGCATTTCGGCTTCACTCCCCTCGCCTATCTTACGAGTTTATGCTCGGTCCCTATATTCCTATGTCCATGATCTCGACTACAGAACTTTTTTTCTTAATTTATCGAATTCCTACACGTTCTCGAAGTTTGGCCATTTAAATTTCAAACACCATGTATATTATATTCTTTTATACTGTATAATCGTAAATTACTATACACTTATATGTTACGTAATTTATAAAATCGAAATGTACTTTTATTATCTGATTTATGTGCTTATAGGTAACTGCAAAACCAGATCTTTATCCCTTAGTAATTGGTTGCGATGATAGTTCGGGCAAAGGTACTTCTAGTTTTGTAATGCACTATGTCAGATCATTGCCGCATTCAAGCACATTGGATTCATTGAGCTCCAGTTTTATGTGTAATATGGTAAACGAAGCAAATACTATTATTCCGCCACCATACTCTTGTAACAACAGCGTCGATGAATTATCAGCAGTAGAGTGTGAAAGAAGAGAAACTAGTGATATTGGTTCCATTGTCTCCTTGACGAATCATAGAACGACCTCTGACATATCAAGTCTTGGTGCTCAATCACCTTGTTCTCCACCGAGAGCTACTAGTCCAACAATAGAAGTATGTTTTTAATTATATTTTAGACATTTAAAATGAATTAAATTATATAATAAAGTCAATTTATAATTAAACTTAATTAACGTACATATATATATATATTTATTTATGATATATCACAAAAATAACTATATATACGAATTATTTCGCGATTCATTTTTACGTTTATTATTTTCCAGTTACGGGAATTATTGGACAAGATACAACAACTTCCTCATTTATCTAGTGGACATTCCACTACCATGCATTGTCAGCAGAATCAAGCCCCGGTCTTATATACAACAAGTAGCGATGCTACTACGCAACAACGGCCTTTAAGTCCCAACCACGTTAGTTCATTCAAAGTTAGAAGAACCAGGGGCAAGCTATACATGCCGTTGGGATTGCCGAATTCGCAAAGCAAAACAAAGCGATGGTTATCGCGCTCCGCACCGACAACACCTTCGGGTACAATGCCAATGTCCTTCTTGCCAGGACAGAGCAGAAGGCCTTCAGAAACCGGCAACAACAATCAACAAGCGGTGCCACTACTTTACGAGCAAGACGAAAACGAAATCAACAACGCAGATCAACCATCGAATGTTTCAACGCTCGCTGAATAACAAGAAGACAATTAATCGATATAACACGGTGTCTAAACCGTTCGTGCCATTTTGACATTACAATGACTTCACTAAAGATTATTATATTTAACACGCACGCGCGCGCGCGCACACACACATACACACACATAAATATTTTTTAATATGGCTTTAATGCATTCATCGTGTGTGCCGTATCATAAAATTGTACACATGTAATTGGGACGTATTATTTAGATATTTATGCAACATGATAAAAACCTAAATCTAAAATATTTTGTTAAAACATACATATATATATATATATATATATGTGTACAGGACATACAGACAAAATATGATATTCAAATAATATAATATATACAAACACACACACACACACGGAAGGATTTACAAATATCTCAACATTTAGCTATATAGATACAAGAGTCTGAAAGTAATTTTATTGAACCATTAAAATTATTAATTATGTAAAATGCTTAAGTTAGTTGCTAGAGTGTCAAAACTTTTTGCATTATTATCATCATGCTCGAGCATTCTACATAATTATTTAATAATTCTACATAATTTTGATTCCAACAAAATTATTTTCAGATATGTTTACGATCTGTATATCACTTATTTATACACATATACATAGATGTGTCCTCTTACTTATTTTTTTAATTTGATGATTAATTTTTCATACCTATGTGTTTAATATGGAAATTTAGCGATACGCAATTAAAAAATTTAAACATAATTTTAAATCGTATAGATATGTAGACATGCATTCACCTTGAGAGTACGCTCCGAAATATGTCTACTTAATATGATAAGACATACATAACGCCTATATTGTTAATCGATTACTATTAACCAATAAATATCGCCTACCTTTTTAAACTAAAAATCGCAAGAAATTTGGTGGAACTTTACGGCTGTCTTCAATGAAGTGACTTATCCGCAGTATTAGAATTCGATTTTACCCGCTATACTCTGAACTATTTAAACATTAACTCTTTAGCTGCGGTATACTTCAAATAAAAACTATTTTTCGTGTGCGAAATGGTAGCTACAAATCAGTCACTAAAAAATTGATTCTACTAAAAGTAGTACCACGTGAATAATTTAAATGCATACAAAACGTTTGCTTTTTTTCTAACACGTACGTGATGATAGAAAAAATTTTAATCATAGACTTCACTCTCTTTGTTGCAACAATATATTTTTAGAAAATCTTAACACATAAATAACGATAAAATAGAGTAAATAATATGTACAGTAAATAATATATAACATAATATGTACAAATGTAATACATTTTTAGGTAACCGATAAATCGGCAATTTAATATTAACCAATAGTCAAATCTGTCAAAAACAGATTTCGTATAATGTCTAATATAAATTTCATTGCCAGCGAAAGTATAATAAAATTTGCTAACAAGTATAGATGACAAACTGATTGTAAAAATGGAGCAAAATACACATATATACGTGTACATTTTCCGCAGTTAAAGAGTTAATAGAAACTGAAATATCGTGATAAGTAAATACATGCAGTTTGCTTTTCTAAGAAATAAAACAAATTGTGAGTCATTTCCTTCTAATTAGGTATATGATTTTTACCTAACATTAATACAATTGTACAACATCTTGCCACCTTGTATTTAATATAAGCTTTCGCTTCTTTTTAATATCTCGAAATCTCACAATATAAGCGATATTATTGCATTTATTATGGAATGTAAAATTATAGTATTATAAATATTATTATATCAGGACAGGAAATAGAAGATTTTTATCGCTTTTCCATACGAATATGTGTTATTTCATAGCGCACAAATTTGTGAAACAATATAAATAGATTTGTGTTGGTATAATATAATGATAGTAAAATAATAGTGAGAAGAATATATGTTTTGCGCTTTACTTATAAAACTAAAAAATATTTTTAATTTTGTTTTATGGAGTATTCGATTATATATATATATATAATATATACATATTTTAAATATATATATAATATTATATATATATATATAGAGAGAGAGAGAGAGAGCGTGTACATACACATCGAAATTCATTGATGCATAAATAGATTACGAAAGTTTTGGTAATCGTCTAATTAATTAATATATATAATTTTTATTATCGTATTTACATAAGTTTTATCGATATATATGTATAATACTCCATCCAAAAAAAACCGATCGAAAGAGAAGATCGGACTTAGGACAATATTGCGCTATTATATAGAAATATAAACCGATGCGGCAGTAGTATATACGAGATACATGAACCATGTACAATGCAGATTCCGTCAAAAGATAACAATATAGACTACAGAAATTAATAGACAAAGTTCGTAACAAATATAATAAGAAACATATTTGTTTAATTTTAAATAAGCAGATGAGATTACTATTATTACAAATATAAATGCAACAATGAAAGCATAAAGGTCAAGATACAGGATTATAAAGTATAGTTTACATGTATGTATGTATATCTACTTGGTTATCCAGCTAAATATTTCGAAAAGATCTTTTTTTGCTAAAAATTTTATCGATAGGATATCAATAAAAATATAACTGAATTTGTTAGCGGAATATGATGGTAGTCGATGGTAGAAATAAAGTGTATAGAATAATTATATGTTCCGTTTTAATGATTACAAAACGACATTTTGCTTGCTTTTTACTAGCAATCGCTATCAAATTATATCAGGTTAGCTAGCAGAGGTCAGGTTCTGCCTTTACTGACAGAACGTAAACAGATTAAATTGATATCAATCTGCTGCAATATATACGGCTCAAATCATTGTGTGATAAAAACAATATATTCTTATATATTTTATTTTTTTTAAAGAATTTTTCATATTTTCAATTTTAAAAATTTCTGAAAAAATACCTTAGGTCTTCAGATTTATAAATTTAATTTGAAAAATAGCAGAATTAAAAATTTAAAAATATCTCAGAAAATTTCAAAAAATTTTAAGAAAGACCTAAACTTTCTCAGTATTTTTGACAAGTACACTTCAATTTGTATAAAATTGAGAAATTTTAAAAAAAGAGTATAAAAAATTTTATCAAATATTTTCACCAGAAATCTGTTGCTGAACTGCTAGCATATATATATATTACTGAAATTTTACTTTTAGCCTTAGTATATTATACTATATTCATCTATTGTACAATCGAGAACAAAATATACTGTTTTACTCCCATATAATAAAATTAAAATATAGCGCTTCTCCCCTTTATGATCGACCAATTACTATAAAGGAGAACGCATGATAAAATTCATAAAAGAAACAATTCTATATACAAATATAATTATATTCTTTACACACATCTGAACTTGACAGCATTTTGTTCTCCACTGTATAATATTATTGCGCACAATTATGGTTGTTAGATACTTTGTCGTTAATTACGTTAATAAAATTCTTGAAATTTTATCATTTATTTTTAACTTAATATTTAAATCAAACATTATTTATACATATGTATACGATATATACGTATGTATACAAATCATATAATACATATGTGTATGTACATAATATTCATACAAATATCAATTGTATATGTTTACACATAAGATAGATACAAATAGAATATTTTTTTGAAGTTACAATTAATTGTCAAATGTGGAAATATATGTGCTTATATTTCCGAAAATATGGAAAACAACTTCAAACTTAAATCTAATTATTTATACGTTGTCTTTTATTCAATTATTTGCAGTACAAGTGTGGAAGTAAAGCTAATCACTTATTAAAATTAATATATAAAGAGACAAGGGCAATAAGCCAATAATTTCGTTAAAATATTTTTAAATTAATCTAATATATATTGCGAAGAATATCACGTAATTATGGCGTTTCGTCTCAGCTTCCACTACTGGACTCATCAGTAAGGCATATTTTAGTGGAAGCTGGGACGAAACGCCATAATTACGTGATATTCTTTGCAATATATATTACTTTTAGATTAATTTCAAAAGATTTTAACGAAATTATTGGTTCATTGCCCTTGTCTCTTTATATATTAGTTTTAAAAACTTATCGAGCCTTGTTACGAACAATTTTACTTATTAAAATATTATACATATACATGTGCGCACGCACCCCCCCCTACCTCCTCCTCCCCCCCACACACACACATACACACATATATTATTTAATTTTTGTGTAAAAAAATACGATAAAAACATCTGCATTGTAAACTATACTTTTATTTCCTAAGAAAGATTAATTTCCTTTATATGTATACAAGATATAATTATAAACATATAGAAAATGTTAAAAATATACTCAATAATTATAACAGATTTTAATTCTAATATTATAGTTTTAATATGTAAAAGAGCAGTCAGATACTTTAATTGTACTAATATTGTTCATGTACATCATGTATTTTTTTATGAAGCCAGATATAAATAAATTCAAGCTTTTACGAGACGTTTTTATATTGTTTATCTTCAGAATGTATTCTAATATTTCTTCATTAAAAGCCATGATGTACAAAAAACTTCAGCAGTAAACAAATCAACATTTTTTGAATGTGCTATTTACTGCTATTAGTTGCTTTTTCCATTTACTCCGATTCTCAGATAATTCTCTTTTGTGACGTCATAACTCAGTTGAATGCGCGTTCCTATTACATTCTGAGAAGTGAGATTCAACTGAGTTTTTACCTACAAACTGCACAAGATCGAGACCGTATATGCTTTGTTGAGTCTAGTTGGTCTCATAAGACTCACTTTAAAAGTTAGATTATAAACCTGTGTTGTTATTTATTAATTTTACCAAAATAAGCAAGTAGTGACGTCATTAATTTGAATATTTCATACTCAGCTCACTTCTCAGATTCAGTTTCACTTGTGTGTAAATGGAAAGCCACTTGTTTGTGTTGTTCTATAAAAGCCGCAGCGCCAGACTCTTGTATAACGCATAATGTATAGTGCATGAGAGAATCAATCAATCAGAAACCTTCCTTTCCCCCCATTTCACGGAGGAGAAGCATTTTGATTGGTTGATTCTCTTATGCGTCATGCAAAAGTGTGTGCTGCGGCCTTTAACGATTGGCCGGTTCGTTTACTGCTTACGTACACCGTCTACATTTTTCTGCATAGCTTATTTACTACCTTACGTTTACGTTTTTCTGTGTAGATTTCAGATTGAAAACTTTTGGTTTTTGTATTTTCGTAGCTTTTGATTAATAAATGTTAAGTAAAATAAATGTCGTACGAAATAATTGCGTATCAATAAAAAATATAAGATAGACTGCGAATAAAAATAATTTCAATTTACATTTCCCGCCAAAAATATCAAAAGTATCTTCAAAATCTCGATTCAAATTTATCGATTTCAGAATCATCTGAATGATTTAGAATGATTTATGGAACTGAATTTACTACGATTGAATTGACTACGATTTAGTGTTATTGTTTATTTCGACGCGTTGCGTTGCGTCACATTTCTGTTAATTCGTAAATGTTCGTCAATTCCGATTAAATTCCTCCTCATTTTAGAATCTCTTTCGCACCGACTCCAACGCTAATTGATAGTTAACTCAATCATCACGATTGCTAACGTGAGAACTAAACACAGTTTATCTCAAAAGAGAAAGAGAGAGGAGGCGTTTTGATACATTAAACTGCTATTGGCACTTGTCAATTAATTTATTACAAGTTGGTGAAAGAAAGCTTTAACCGTAAAAGGATGTCTGTAAGTACGAAATTACACAATTCCCATTTTTCTATAAACTCATTCAAAACTTACCCTTGAATTAACCTCACGATTTTCTTTCAGGCACCGAAACAGGTAAGTTGTCACACGTGCTTAATACTGAATTTATCATAAATCTTAGCATATTCTTTATATTTTTGTAGCAACAGAATGTTGAGCACAAAGAGAAGAAAAGGAAAGAAAGCATTCTTGATTTATCAAAGTATCTCGAGAAGAATATAAGGGTAAAATTTGCTGGTGGCAGAGAAGCCGAAGGTATCCTTAAAGGTTATGATCCTTTACTCAATCTAGTGCTTGACAACACAAAGGAATATCTTAGAGGTGTGTGATTAATAACGATGCTTTATTTCATTTATAACAAGGATGATTCTATATCATCTATTTATCAATGCTTGTTTATGTACGTATTTGATAATAGTATTGATAAATATGTGATGTAGTGTTTATATTAATAGGAATGCTTTTTAAGAATGTGTATTTAAATATTTTATGTATTTTAAAAGTTATTCTTTGTCTAACAGTTAATATTTGGATATAAAGTATTGAAATCTTTTTGTATTTATTATTGTTTATTTAAAAATGGAATTGTATATTGCGTGCTGTATAATTTTCTTAATTGCAATTATATGGTACATCATATTTGATAAACTTTTAATCAATCTATAACGCAAACAATTCTTTTAATTATACAGATCCAGATGATCCATACAAATTAAATCAGGACACTCGTATGCTGGGTTTAGTAGTGTGCAGAGGAACGTCTGTAGTGCTTATCTGTCCTGTAGATGGTATGGAGTCTATTCAGAATCCGTTCATACAACAAGAAGGATAAGCAGGAAAGTTCTTCATCAATATATGTTACATCTTACAAAAAAAATTTCTTAATCCTTATTTTGATTACAATTTTTATTTTTTAAATAAAAATATAATTTATTTTGCATTACTAATTGAAGAAGCTTACATGTATAGGAAATAAATGCCATTTTCTTACAAAGATAAACTTTTTTTATATCTATGTTTACAATAAATAATACAATTGTACATCTAAATAAGGTACTATGTAAACTCTTTATAATATACAAACAACATATACAGAAGAACAAGTCCTATATATTAGTTGCGCGCTTCTATTACTTTTTATTCAATTCCGAATTCGTTTCTTAGCCATGGATATTGTTTTGGACATTCGAAGCATGTATGTAAATACCTATATGATTTGAGCACTTTACTGGGTAATTTGCAACTATTTGGCAAATCACAAGCCATCTCATATGGCTCAAAATGTCTCTTCGTACATTGCCATGGTGTAAACTTATTGATTTCATTCAGAAGTGTTGGTCTGCGCATCCATTCCACTATCTGATGATTTGTAACGAAAAATACATCGTCCAATCGAAGTAGATCATCGATGAATTTCTAATTAAATATAAACATATATTTTGTAAACATATATTTTTACAGATTAAATAGAATAAAATTTATCAAATTAGAGAAATCTGTAAACAGAAGTTATAACCCAATCTTGAATATATTGCACTGTTTTAATTTTATAAATTTTAGTAACATAAATTTTTTAATTAATAAATACATAGAAATTGATACAGTAGGAATTCTTTTAAAAATGTATTTTAATAAAAGTAATAGTGATAAATATAACTTCAAACCACTTTCTTTGTGTTAGTTAATAATAATCATTGATTTTAATACAGTAATGTTTAAAGTCCTACTTACATTAAATGCATAAAAATACATTGGATTTTGAAACCATGATGCATGAAAATGTAGGCCAAAAGGTGCGCGATTGGTAAGATAATGTCTTTTAAAATTCAGCATGAGTATCTTATAAATTTCTTCGCCAGATAAGTCAGAGGGGCATGAATCCACAGTACTGCACATATAATCCTAAACAATACATCAAATACATTAAATATTTTTATACAACAAAGACAAAGGAGATAATAGAGACCATAGCAATAATTATAAACAAAAAATTCGGAAAAGAATGGTTATTCTCCATTTTAATTTTTTAAATTATTTTCAGTGTAAAAAAAAAATATGAATTAATAAATATTAAATTCTGTGTACGACCGTATAATTGTCAAACAAACAATGAAGAACAGCCTATAACAGTCAAAGCTGGATCGTATTGCTTATTATAATTATGTGTGAATTTTATAAACTACGTATGTAGTCCCCCATAATTGCGCGCTGATAACCTTTAGACGTAACGCATAAATACTACAGTAGTAATATCACAAATTTTATTTGATTAATTACATATTAAATATGAAGATGATAAATTAAAATTCCTTAAATAATTAGATCTTTAATTTATTTTATATATATCTCATCCAGGCGTATAAGGTAGGCTTCCATTACAATGCTTTACGGATGAGTCCAGTAGTGGAAGCCGGGACGAAACGTCAAAAACTATGTGATATTTTTCGCAATATATAAAAAATAAATTAAAGATCTAATTATACGGAATTTTAATTTATCATCTTCATATTTTAATATGTAATTAATCAAGTAAAATTTGTGATATTACTACTGTAGTATTTATGCGTTATGTCTGAAAGTTATCAGCGCACAATTATGGGAGACTACATACGTAGTTTATAAAATTCACACATAATTATAATAAGCACTGTGATCCAGCTTCGACCGTTATAGGCTGTTCTTCTTGTTTAATATGAATTAAGTTTAATAGATAGAGAGATACTAGCAAGAAAATTCTGTAAAATCAATTATAAGAACTTCTTAATTATTCGATCTTTCACAGGAAAATTAAATTTTATATTATTATGCATTACGCAATGTCTCTTATAATGAATAATCTTAGATTGAAGTAGTCTTAGCTTTTTTTATTTTTGCTTTGTACTTATCAACGAATTTCCTCGGTTGCACGTGATTCACGTACATTTGTTAAAAGTTGATTTAAAGGTAGTTCCCAGATATTCGGATAAGAACGAGTAGGACAAAGTTGACTTGCACGGATGCATGGATGCGGCGGTCTGTAATCCAACGTGTAGGGCCAAAAGGGTGGGTCGGAGAAAGGTGCGACGATTGAAGAATCATAAACGAAACCAAACTCAGACATCATCAGAAATTGGCGATTCCATCCGACTTGTAGGAAAGGCGCTCTTACCCCTATGATATACATATATAAAAAAAATAATACTAGATATTTTATTACAAAACTACATTACATTGGAAAGACCCATGCAATATTTGTTATAATCAAATTGTATAATTTAAATTTATATTACGCGTAATAATTGTATTAACAATCGTGACGTATGCCTTTTCTTTCCAATCTAATTTTGATTTTGTATAAAACTGAAAATAAGAGTTTTACCTCTGATTTCTCCAATACGAACCGCTGCATATTTCTTAATGATGTTTGCCATTCCGACCATCTCGTCGAACCAATCTTCGATCGTCGCATTCTTCGACCACCATTCTTCTGGTCCACGATGTCTAGTAAATAAATTGATTAATTATCATTTTTATTTATAGTTTCTCTTTTTTCTATTTATAAAATACGTATACTCTTACGTGACAGAATGCGCAGCTATTTCGTGACCGCTATTCCACAAGTATTGCACATCTCTGTAATTGGTATATTGATGACTAATATAGAAAGTACCTTTTATAGGGCAGCCATTAGGATTTTTTCTGTCATTCGTAAAAATTTCTATAAATAATTGAGAGAGAATAATTTTTTATATTTTATAATAATTTTCTCCAGGAAATACTTAATATTATTATGAGACAAGGAAAGAATTAACATCAATTATGTTAATGTAATTATACATAAACAATTAAGTTGATTTAGGTCATTGTAGATCTATCTAAATTCTTTAAATAAAACAGAAAAGAAAATTATATGTAAATTTTTTAATTCGATCGATAGCATTGATTTCTTATCAACTTACTTGAAAAAAGTTCAAAATTTTCAGCATTTACAGCATTATTGAAAGTAATTGTTATCATTTGTGGAATTGCGCGTGCAGTGAGATTTCCTGGAATTTGAGTCCCTTCTTTAGAACACCAACAATTTGGTAATTGACACTTTTCTACGTCACATACTGGCGCAGCATTTATATCATGTCGCATGTCTACAATAAATTAATATTTATATTAACAATGTGCATTATAAAATTTTATTTTCATAATGTGTTAAAAAAATGGATGTGTCATGTTTTGTATTTCCTATTTTTATATTTTCTAATTTATAAATAAAAATATTTTAAATGTGCAAAATATTTTACAAAATAATGTAATTTGGGAAAAAAATTTCAATCGTTTCGTATTAACTTTATATTTTAATATTTAATTTTATTGTAATATCAAGTTTTTATTTCAACAAAATTATCTAGTGAAAAATATTTCTTGAAAAACCTGCTTGTTGAAGTAATTGCACGCTCAGTAAAGAATTCTATGTATATGAATGTGAAGAATTTAATATATGTTTGCGCATTCTTCGCATTTCTTACCACACCATCCTTCATCGGAGCCATCGGGACAATCGACGTTCCCGTCGCAAAAATAAAGAGCAGGAAGACACGTGCCATCTCCGCAAGCCAAACTTTCTTCATCACACTCACCATTCTTGAGCAATGGCTTTGCTGGTTGAGCATCTACGAAAAACTTTGAAGATTTTACATCACCATTCGGTGTATATATTAATTATATTTCTTTAAACAAATAAAAAAAGTTTAATTAGACTTTAATGAATAAATCAACTTGTTAACAACTTGTGTTTGACTCTGAAAGCTTTTTATTATTTATTATACTTTTTTAAGCTACAAAAACATCGTAAAGATTATGAATCTTTTTCTAAATAGAGTCTAATTTTGCTTAAAAAAATTGGAACATGAATTACATATGTTTGTTGCATATTTGAAAAAAAAACTAAAACATTCAACTTTAAATTTTTTGGCTACAATATTTACAGTAAATATTTAGACTGACATATATATTACATAGATTAAGAATAGGTACTAATAACATAAATGTTCCAAATTAGAACCAATGAGAGATTTAATATCAAAAACAAAGAAATAATTAACACTTGTCGCTATTGTATGATTTTCCGGGTGAAAGTATTGCGTGTGTAATACTCGATCGCTTTCTAGAGATCGGCATAAAGTTTACCGATGTTTGTTTGTAGTTGCAGGGCTTTGTCAACCTTTCGTTCACGATGTTTTAGAATACATATATAGGAGAGACCGGGGCATCATGGGTCATTGACTGTTTAGAAATCCAAAATGTTTAGGTTGGTGCAATCCCTGCTTAAAATTTTCTATAGAAAACTATTGAGAAAATTCTATAGTTTTTAATGAGCGTTTTGAATCGGTAAATCCCAATCCGCAAATAGTTTTCTATTATTATACTCATAGAATCTTATTGATAACTGTAGAGCTTCTATAGTCGCTCTCGTGCGCTACTATAGAAACTATTAAAAACTATAAATACCTATACAAACTCTATATGTTCCTATAGTTTTTTATAGAAAATTTTAAGCAGGGATTGGTATCATATAATTGTTATTTATTGCCCATACTATGTATCCATGATGTATGTACATACATCATGTAATCATATGTATCTAGATGGCAGTGATCCACTTCCATTACCTTTCCGTACACATGTCGTTAAAGAATCTCGTGGTGCGAAAGTGATTATTTTACCTCTTATAATATATACTTATTACGAGTTACATACGTGATTCTACACATCTTTCTGCATTTTCTCTGCAGTGTAGGTAATCATTTATTGTTTACTTTGATGTTATATTTCACCGTTTTTTACATTAGATACATCGGAGTACCATGGGTCATGCA